GTAGCAGCCTTTTTGAGGAAGTTAGGAGTCTCGGTGATTCTCTTTCTCTCTCCCTCTCTCTTCTTCTCCTCCTCTCTCTCTCTCTCTCTCTCTCCTTCCCCCACTCTCCACTCGTCTAGTTTTATTTACCTGTATGGGTGCAGTGTGCGCGCAACGGACGTGCAGTAAATTAAATGCGCGCGTTAAAGCCCGAAAAAAAGCGAGACGGGGAGATGCGGCGGTGGCAGGCAGTCAATAGCGTTTCGAAGGGAAACCGATTGTGCGATGGCTTTATAACGATCGTTGTGTCTATCGTCCACTCGACGCAAAATCTCCGCTGAAGTCTCGTATTATTTCGAGAGCGTTGAGCATCAAAATCCTCTCACGTTCGTGTTCCTTCCGATATTTAAGATAGCATAATATTATCCGCGAATATCCCCCTCCTCTCCCCCCCCCGTGTTTGTCTCTGAAGTCCCATTCCGTGATGCTGAATAATTCGTGGAGCACATCTCGAGTTCTATCGGAGCATTCACTTGCATTCAGGAAGCTGAAGCTCCATTTAATTAAAATAAAGTCGTTATTAAGAGTTATTTCCAATTGGCACTTTTTTTTCTGTTCGGTGAATATTTAAAGTGTTCGAAAAACGCGCGATAATAGAAACGTAATGTATTTATATTGGAGCACAATTTAACGCGACAAGTTTATTCGACTACATCGTGCAAATTAATTAACGCAACACGATGTATTCGGCGTGTTTGCGTATCGCGCCGAGTGTGCGGTAATAAAACGGATTCATACTTTCCATATTAATCAAATATTCTTTTTTATTATCTGCAAAATTTCGAATTTCGCAACTGAGCGAAATAGACACTCCCGCAGTGCGAGCGCTAGTCGAATAATCCTGTATAATTGTTTTTGCAAATATGGCTTTATTTGATCAAAATTTCTACGAAAGATATGCCACTGCATCGCTCTGTCGATAAGCTCCGACTAAATCGCAGTGAATTAAGTTCGCAAATCGGAAATTCGCATCGACTAGCCTTTGTACACGGTTAACGCAATCCGTCGAAGAGAATCGGGCGGAACTTCTCTACTCGCCTACTGTCCGTGTGTATTTCCAGTATCGACGAAAGGCTCGAACTGACTCGCCCGTGCACAGCTCGCCGTGCGAGACAAAGACGCGCGCGTCGCGAATTGCTCGGAGCGAAATATACAGGAATGCGTTACAAAGTGTACGCGCGCGCGCGCGCGCTCGCGAATGCGGGGCCGCATGCCGGGCGCGCATCTCCAATCGCATCGTTCCGCGCTCGTAACCGCGTTCGAACTCCACACGGGTAAAGGAGTGCCCTCGTGGAAGTGTTCGCCGTCAACGTAACAACTTTCCTGACGCCACGTTTCGTGTTCACCGAGACACCGAGACCCGGGAACAAAGAGGTATTGAAATCGGTGGAGCGATGAGCTCAGATTTCGACGCCGCAGACACACGGGAATTATCCTTATATTGTCCACCTACGACAATAGATCCTACGAAAATTAGGTATGCTTCCGTGTCCAATATCCGAGCTTACCGACTTTATATAATGATTCAAAATTTGTATAGCGTCGCGCTGCAGAATATGTTAAGAAATCCATTCATCTCGCGACCTCGCAATCTCTAAACGCAATTTTTTTTTATAAACACGTATGGTTCTTTTTGTTCTGGAAGAACAAAAAAAAGCGCGGGTGTCGGGACATAAAAGATATTACGAAACAGAGTGAAAACGAGCCAAAATGTGTTTTAAATCTAAATACTTATTTTTTTTTTTTTTTACTTTTTTTTACAGTCTTTGTTGTTTTTCAAATAAAATTTCAGACAAATTACATTCGCATGTGTAAACCAATTTGAATTCATCGCACTAATGTAGATCGCACACGCTTAACTCTTACGTTAATTTCGAGTCAAAATCTCTAATTGCACACCTGGAGTAAAATTTCTTATCGCTACAATCCCGAAAAAATCAATGCGATTCCGCGAGATAAGCAGGGACCGGTAGCGCGGCTCTTTTTTCACGATTCTTTTTGTTCTCCGAGATGAGAGAAATGTACGGGCTTACCTACACCACTGTGCCGCTCGCACCGACGGCTCATTTATCGCTCATAACTGCCGCGCGATAGCGCGAGACCCCGACGCGCGATCCACGGTAATACTGTGTCCACCATAGCGATAATAATTCATTGCGGTCCGTATCTGTCGCGCGTTGTTCTCCATCGCCTGTAATTCCGCGCCGAAAAAACGCGGAGAGAGGAAAAAGGGATTGTCTCCGCGCGGCGCATTTCCGAGGAAATTAAAACTTGCTTTTGCGCATCGGAAAAAGACGATCGGGGGATCGTCCAAGTTGCTGCGCCGCCATCGAAGTTGCCGCGACCAAAGGCGCCACAGGGTACAGTCGAGGGGGAACGGGGGTTGAGAAAAGAGGCGAGGAAGGACGTGGTGGTGGTCGGTGCGGTGGTAGATCGACACGCGAGAGGGAAGAGGGAGGAATCCCCCGGAGGAATTTAACGCATGGATGAAGCCGTACGGCGGGAGAGGAGAGACGTGTGCACGCTCGTACCTGCACGTTTCACCTGTGTACGACGTAAAGTAAATAAGTTCTCTCTGTCTTATTCCTATTGAAGATCGTGGTATCTCCTCCTTCGCTCGTGTTCCCGTTCTTCTCTCCTTTCCCTCTTCGCGCATACACACACACGCGCGCGCACACACACACGCACACACACCTACGCGCGCGCTTGCGTGCCCCGGGGGCAGGTTTTGAAACTTCTAAGCGGATTTCGTCTCGCTCGTCCGTTCTTAGGACGACGTGTACCGCCGTCAATCTTGCCGTCGTGTAAAATTGGGCATTGTCCGCATCGCCGTATTGTTGTATACACCGATGCGCGCGAGGAAGCACCTACGTGACGGCGGCACGCGAATGCATCCAGGTGCAATGAGCAGTCCTTCCGTGCAGGGTGCATCGCCTGGCCGGGGTGATGCAGCTGAACTTTTCCCCGTTTGCGTGTGAAAAGTGGCGGAAGGCACGTCGAACGTTGGGAGAATCGCGCGGATCGCGAAAATTGTTATGTCCACCTCGACAATGTGACTAAACGTTCCCACAAAATCGCCGAGATACAAAGCGGCGCCGATTTTCTAAGTAGCGCAGGGACGTCTGAGATGAATCGCCACAATAGAACGCTGAATAGCTCGTCGGGAAATTCAAAGGCGGATTCACACGTAGACGCCAACTGGCAATCTTAAAACATAAAAAAAGGTTTAGACTGCTTCTCCTTTTTATTTCTTTAAATTTTATAATTATTAAAAAATGTATTCAGCATTTCTTTTTGAAGCAACCTCGATTTAAAATTTTTGTAAGTAGATGAAGCCCGGAAATTAATTTGCTTCCGGAGGCTTCGAATAAAAACCGCAAAATTAATTTGCACGTCTCGGAATTTCTGCATAATTGAAATCATCGCTATCGTAATAAATTTAGCCGAGTGTTCGTACACGTTGAGGAAAGATTTATCTCTGTTGGAAAAGATTTAATTCTCTCTATACTACGTTTGATATATATCTGTTCTCGGCATACGTAACAACTAAGGACTCGAATTATCACGAGTGTTGCAATTGTTCCTTGTTACAATTGGCCACGAGCTCCCTACCTGCAAGCGCTTAATTTCCGTAAGTGAGATCTCTTGCGCGGAGGTCATTAGTCGTACTTGTATTAAGTCTTCGCAGTTTGTTGAGTGTTTATTATACCTGCAACGATAACTAGTAGTAACTGTTTCTACTTTATAACTTAAAACATAATTTGCATTGCCTTTCCTGAAACTTATTTTCGTACAAAATCCGTATTTTAAAAGACGAAAATTGTCTTACAAAGGACGTGGAGGAAAGCTTCAAGAAATCAATAACAAAATCCAACATACTTTTACTATTCCTAGTTTGAGAATTAAGAATGTAAATCTGTTTAAACAGGAAATATCTATTACAGAAATTTAATAATTTCTTAATTTTATTTGTTTATTCTCATTTGCTATAAGTACAAGCTAATACTAAATTATTGAGTGATCTTGTAAGCGAGAAAGTGCTGATCTCCTTGAAGATACTCCGAAGAACCGCCAATGTGAATACGGTCGTACATAGTTCTTTTGGTCCTCGTATCTTCCGACCGCATCCGCTCATTGGGATCAATGTGGCCCTCCAGGTTCTCGTGCCTGATCCCCAGATCGTGTAGATTAAACGTACTCTTCGGAAATGTCTACTTAAACCGCTTCTACCAACCTTTTTCACTCAGTACTTTATTCAACACTCTCTTTTACTCTCTATTAATTCCGAATCACGCCGAACTTACTCCGCGTGCATTGGAAAATATTGATATAAATAGAACGTTGAAACACGGTTTGAATATTTCTAACAAATAAATCTTTAATATAGAAATTTTTTATATTTATACGCTTACATTTTCATTTATATTTAATACATTTTTATTTTATCTTTTAATATTTATATTTATGAACCTTTTAATATGCGTAAAGACTTTAATGTCTCATTTACGTAAACTGTGGAGTTTGATATAAATTTTCGTTGAGAAAAGCGAATTGCAAATTCAGGGAATTTGTGGCAGGAAGTTCAATAGCCCCGCAGCCAATCAATATAGAGATGATCAATCTCGTTATTGCAGCAAAGAGCGCGTGTTTTATAAAGCTATGTGTGATACCGTTTCTATAAAATTTTAGATAATTTAGTCGTTCTTTAATCTGAATATCTGTTTACAATGTGCTCTGAGTGATGTAAAATTTGGTAAATTTTGAAACGCAAGCGTATTGATCTCAACGATTTAAATATTTCTCATGAGGAAATAAAGAAATTCGGTACAATTTAACAAAATTTGTAAATAGCTGCCAAGCGTATTAACTGTTCCTTTTGATTTTAAGTATCTTAAAGTTGTAAACATTGAAATAGTATAATTTTTATTTATTTATTTTTTTATTTATTGATATATTTCTAGCGGATTCTGTGTAACGAACTAGAATACGAAGCAGATGCATCGCAATTTCGTAAATGTCGCATCGACGAACTTCGGCAGAACAATCGCAGTTAAATTAAAGGGAATGACATCCCGTAAGCCATAATCGGCCGTTCTCGCGAGTTGACTCTCTATCCAATCTCGCCTGCCTTAAACCAGATGCAATCGTTCGAGTGCAACGGACGGTTTTCGCATGGCGATCCTCGAATAGAATTCAAAGGGAATTGGAGATCATACGATGCGACGCGCGGTAAGACTTTCATGTTATATTATCTGATAGAGAGGTCAATATCCAAAACTTTTCGGCATTCTAAAAATTCTCTAGAAAGGTGTAGATTACTTTTTGGGCGGAAAAGTGTGATGCACACAAAAATTCTATTAACAAATATTTGAGAGGGATTTTCGCGGAATTTATTCTTAAAAAAATATTTGTGATTAAATTTTGTGTGATTTTGTCATTGCATATATACATTTCAATTTTGCGCCATGATACTTAAACGATTGATATTTTTTGAAAATTTGAATGCAACACGCGAAATTGCATGGTCATTCGAATGTTCCATCGATGGCGATTCTCGCCAAGCGTGGAATCGAACGAATGCAGGTAGAGCAGGATTCGCGGCGCAACGGCAACGACGGGACGCGCAAAGCGCGCACTGCCATTGCTCGGAGAGAATGCCTCAGCCGCGCGTCCCACAACAGTTTGCGAAAATTACTGCTGTCATTTGCCGCCGGCTTTGTTCTTAGCCGCGGTGTGCCGGTACATGTCTGTACGCGCTCGTTTGCGCGCGTGTTGGTTGCGCCGGCGTTGCGATGCACCAACACTGTGTATGATGGATGACGCGAACCTGGGCGCAAGAATAATGGCAGCTTCGGAGGCTCGAAGCACTTCTGAATACGACGGAAAACTTTATTACCGTACCGCGACACGAATTCTCGCGGAACTAACAACACGGCGAGTGTTAACCCTTAGAATTAGCGAGAAGCCGTAAATGTGCATTCCTCCTCCTCAAATATTACAATATTAATAACTAAATAGCAAAAAACGACAGTTGAAAAATACCAAATAACAGTGGAAAATGAAAACAAGAGTTAAAATGCTCTTAATTACGAAATGCTAATTACTGATTAATAATAAACATTTAATTATTTTTTGTCAAAAATATATAATCTATATAAAATAACATAATTATTTAATAAGTTCTTTATTGCCACAAATTGTGTTGCCGGCAGTTTAATGAAAATTTAATATCGGAAAACATTTTGTGCGTTAAGTACAAAATGTACCTACCTACTACCCTTCTTCTGTTATATATACCCGGAAAATATTACGCTATCATCAAAAAGCGTTCGTGATGAATAATCATTTGCACCGAGTGTTATTTTCGAAATATCAAGAACAACAGGTGGACACGGTATCCGATTTAACGCTATAATCATTTTAGCTGAGTAGAAAAGCGAATAAATGGATTTCATTATTTTACATTGTTAGCATATTTATTACGTCTGCGTATATGTGCATAAAGTGTATCGCGTACCCGGTTTCGAAATATGTAATCTTAATGTAGCATTATATATGTATATCCGGCTTTAAATGAATATTAAACGGCGCTGTTGGTCGAAAATGAAATAATGGAATTTGTTCACTCGATTTAGCGCAAATAATGCCAACGCGATAAGCAGAGCAGGCCGTTTATGAAACTGATGAATCGATTTCACAGTGAAATTCGAATAAAAATCCGATTGACAGTTACGTGGGAAAAAAAAGAATGAGAAAGATCGGAAGCATTTTCTAAGCGATATTCAAAAAATCACTCATGCATTACCGTAAAATTATTGAAAATTAAATCCGGTATACATTCGATGCACGTATCGGTATATAAAGACAAATTACCGCGACGAAGCTTGGAGCTGCGGAAACGCTTGTCAGCTTTTTCGTCATGGAAACCACCATTAAAATTAATCTGTGTTTTACCTACCTTTATTTTGATCATTTCTAACAAGTATCGCTTCCTTCTTTGAAGCACGTTGTTTTATGTATGGTACAATATATGCATATATTTCCATATGCGTACACTGTGTCATACATAAAAATGGATTATGTATAAAGAGAGAGACACGGAAAATTAGTTCTTTCGTTACGGTCAAGATTAACAGAACAGTCCATAAAAGAAATGCTGCTCCTTTCTTTGTTATGTTATTCGTGTCTTGAAAAATTATCATATTTTTTTGTGTGTATATGCAATTACATTCTTTTTAATTAGCATATATATTTTGCTGAGAAAATTTCGTCAAATATTTGGAGAAATAATTTCGGAATTACAATTTTTTTCTTCAATTTTTCCCTCCATTTTGTTAACGTATATTTTACATTTCGACGATTTTACGTAACTTGGAATTCCATATACAAAGCCGCAGGCCAAATCTGTTAACTCATCGCGGTTTGCTGAATGAGAATGTTGCCTGCGAGCATATGCCGTCTAAACAATTCCAAGTATTGCGCTATGCTGTCTTTGTTTTCCTTGGCAACACGGTGGATCACGATATTCCGCGTTGTGCCCAAACTGTGCAGCTGGACTCGATAATGGCGTAACAAAATTTCTGCATAGGTTCGGTGCGCACGACCGGGAGTCACGGTGCGTTGCACCTACACGCACACGCGCTAGTACGCCCTTGTTGCCCCGATGGTATTGTAAGCGAATATATGCTCGAAGCAATTTCCTATCTGCCTTCCTGTGCCCCCTTCTATCCCTCCGCGCCATTTCTCCCAACGTTCCGTTCCCCGCGTACGGCGACCACCGATATCGCTCCGTTCGTCCCGATCGGTTGTGTTTCGACTTAATTGCTTCTCGTAGGATATTATTGTTGCTACGAAAATACGCACGAGTCGTCGACACATGGCTACGTTTTTCGTGATCTCGTTTAGGATAAGCTGGAAATATTGTCTCTCAAAACGTGTCTTTAAAGAAAAAGAAGGCATGAAAATCGATCGATTATGGATAGAGATTAAAAGATATACATATGTAAAGCATTCTCTCGTTTAAGTAGATTGCAATTTGTTAAAGGTGAATTAGATTTCTCTTTATTTTTTTTTTTATTTGCAATATATTTGTGAGATATACAGTCGGTTGAAAAATGTGCAGGTTAACACAATAAGTAAGGAAAAGTGATCATACTAACAAATTTCCGTCTCTCTAATTTCCATTCCTCTAATTTCGTATACAGTATGTATTGTGCGCATATGCAATTTTATATTATATATTGCTGGAAATTTAAATTTTGATAGAAGTGCGGAATAAAAATCTGATAGATCATATAGGTCATAGGTCAAGCGAAATGAAATTGGCGTAATCAATGGTACTGGAAAAAAAGTATTGAATTTTAGATACTAAAGTATAAATCTTGAAAACAAATAAATAAAACAAGAAGGGAAAAATGAAATAAAAAAAAAGTTATTAACAATTTTCGTGGAACCAATACGCGAAAGTTTTTATCCCACATTTTTGTATCTCTTTTTTACATTTAACCGCCACAGTGTTTTTTCATGCGTCAGGAAACTCGGAAACTCTTCGGGGAAGAAGCAGAATTCCATCACGTATATCGAAAATTCTAAAAATAGATTGCTAACTTTATAGAGATGTCAAAGTTGGAATATAAGAGCGTTGCGCCAGTAGCAAATTGCATTAGTGATTTGCAGACACGGTTCGGTTTAGCAGGGAGCACCGCGAATATGGCGCGAAAGAGGGAAAGCGTGTCAACGCGCCATGGGGAACATTTTATCGATTTATCCATTATCCGTTGAGTGATCTAACACGACGTCCGTCCATTCGTTAGCGCGGGCCAACCTTCGCGATTAATTCCGATATCTCGCCTGACAAAACCAGCTTCAATTAAAAGCTGTCGCCGGCGTTTTAGTTACGCCACGCGGTTGTCTGAAAATTCTGTTACATGTACCCGTTACGTGCAAGTTAGCAGCTGTCCGTTATACACGGCGTTTCTAAAAAGTTTCCAGACTGAGGAAACACTAGAAAACCAATTGAACAACTAATTGAATATTGTAAAAAAAACATCGGACGTTTTTATGTCTTTCGTACTGCAGCCGTACTGTGGCGCTCGATTCTTGAAAATACACGGGATAATAAAATTTCCGTTACACATTGCCGCCCGTAGCTTAAAGCGAATGTGTATTACAAAATCCAAGTGTATCGCTCTCGCATACCGGCGCTCCTCATAGCGCTGAATCTTTCATCTTCCGCACACATACATAACGGATATACGCTTGTACGGAACATTTTTATTTTCTTCTCGCGTGTCGCTCGAAGTCCCGCGCGCGCCCGCGCGCGCTGGCGCCGCAATCAGATTAGTAGTCGCGAATCAGGCGGGATTCGCTATCGATACATACATCTGTACGCGCCGCTAGAATTTATCAAATGCAAATTAAGAATTCACCGGACAGAAGCTCGAGGCGTGAAATAATTTAGCGTGATATCTGGCGTGTTACACCAGCGTTACGTAGCGCTATTGGAGGCGCCGCGCGTATCTGAAAACAGGCATGTTACATCGGTAATCGCGCACGGCGTTCGGTACAGAGCTGTCTCTTTCTCCGTCATTTCGCCTCTCTTTCTCTCTCACTCCAGCCGAGGGACGATCGATAAACTAGGCGGACAGAATCACCGAGTCCGCACTATTCTCCGACCGATGTGTGCGTGAAACGAGCCGCGTCGTTTGGCACGACCGCGCGAAACCTAATGTCGCTCTTACACCGCGCAATTCAACCTGCCAACGCTACTCGGTTCTCGTAACGAAGCGAGGAAGGGCTCTTCGTGTTTTTGTATTCACAATTTTACCCTCCATTCAGTCAGTCAACCATCAAACGCGAATGAAAAAGGCAAGTCCGAGCTATTTATGAGATTTCAAAAACCGCAAGTTACAAATTTACGCTTGTTACTTTGAAAACAGAAAATGAAATTTCTTTATGGAAAATTATCCATTTTTAATCCGCGTCTATTCAAGTATGTATTAAAAAATTCAAATTCTGAAAGCCCATCTTTTGCAAGTTCATAAATAATTTCCAATTGTTGGTCGTCTATTTTTTATTTTTATTTGCGTGTGATGTGAAGATTATTTGAACAAAAATCACTTTTTGGAGACGTGCAAAAATATTAAAGAAAAAAATCAAGACTTAATTAAATTGAGCAAAAAATGTTTAATTAACATTGGTGGAAAAGATAATCTTATGACTATTAGAAG